GTAAGACTTTCCCACTCGTCCTTTCACACAGAACTTCATAGAACTTCTCCCTTCAAACCTAATCCTCACAACAGCCCTGTGAGGGACAGAGAATTCCAGCTGAGGAAATGAAATGGATTCAGAGAGGATAAGTAACTTGCCCAAGGTCAACCAGCAGAATAAAAAATTCAAATCCATAGCTGCTAACTCCAAAGTCAGGGAGGGTGTGCCTCTTGCCCTCCAGAAACACCCCAATGACACCCTCAACTCACCCACTTACCTCTACACCTTCACCGCTTTCTGGCTATAGGTGAGGGAGTCTCAGGACTTTCCTCACTCCCATCTATGGGGTCATTACCCCTCGTATCTGGAGAGGGTAGATGTTATCTTATCCACTAACACACACACTGCACTGAGCCACCTCGCCGGCCCTTTTTAGGGTGAGGATGGGAGACAAGAGCTGCCAAGTCAGCATCTCCTCCATTGCTTGCACGCTGCACAGCTCTCCTGCCCCTTTAGTTCCTTTCTCAGGGGACTGGGATGAGCCAAAAAACAAGGTAACTGAATCCACTATAGGCTATTTATGGTGTATGTGCGTCAGTCCATCTTCTCTGTGAAATACCGGGGTTCTTTATGTCTTCTCTTCTACCTTTCTCCCAGCTGCTTCGGGTCAGCCAAGTCATGGCTCCTACCCATTTACCAACAAGAACAGAAGGGCTAGAAAGCAAGAGGCAAATACCATCACTTGGGAGATTTGAGCAGCTCTGGTCAGGATGAATGGGGAAGCGACTGGCTGATGTGAAGCTTGAGGGAGATCTCTAGACTTCAAATATTCATAATCACCCTCACACAAGCTGGACAATTGAGGCTTCTTCACTGTTTTGCTTTTCCAGGTTCTGCGTCACACACATTACTGCTAGAGGGATAACCAGTGGTCACTCACAGAAAATCCTGTACAAAACTGACACAGCCACCATCGGCTAATGAACCTCATATACGCCTGCATTGTTGATGTCCTCTTATTTCTTTGTCCTCCGGTTGTCTAACAAGTGCAAATATCTACCGCTGACCGTCAATAATACTAGCCATTGTGAGATTTGTTTTCTCATTTAAGAAAGAAATTACAACTTTGAGACCAAAGTTCAGAATGGACAAGATTGTCTTCTACAAGTGCCACTGTCACAGATGGGGCTGGGGCAGCCTCGGGATGTTCTAGCCAAGTCTGGAGAAAGGTAAGAGTTAATGATGAGAGAGAATGGCAAGGGGTCTGTTGGGCAGAGCAAGTCATGTGTGGACTACACCACTCAGCACCGGTGACCTCAGGGGACTTGATCTCATTACCTTTTGCTTTTGAGGCTCTCACCCTCTCTGGGGAGGCTCTCTGCATCTTGACCTTTAGTGACCTCAGCACTTTCTGGCAGCTGCTAGGACCAGGGATCATCTTTTCAGAAATCTGTTTGGCATCATTCCGTGACTTATCTTTCAGGCCTCGTCACAATTATTCATGCTTCGGCAGTATCCTAGCTACAGTCACAGTTCCATTCTTAGGCTGCTACTGAAGGTTACTCTGTCCCAGCCAATGGAGACGGGGGTGGGGGTGGGGGGGCATCGCCTCTGGACCCTGGTTGCAGGAAGCATGCTTCCCAGGAGGGCAGGGCCTTGAAGGCACCTGTTCAGAAAGCCAAGCTCAACCTCCAGCTCTTGTGAACGAGAAAATTGGTAGGGAAAACACAAATTGGGAATTGGTCCCCACATCACAGAAAATTGCTTTGGAATGGATTCCTAGGCACACTCGGCTCTGTACTTGGACACACATTTATACCAACTCAAATGCTGAACTTCGACCACCAGCTGCCTCTGGACTGTATAAAGACCCACTCTCCTACCTCTCCATCACGGATGGCAAATATCTTCTGCTTTTACCTCTTTTTATTTTTTATTTTTTCCTATTTAACATCCTGCTTCTATTCTGTGGCCTGTGCTTCCTGCCTTGTATATTTTAGGCTACTTTAGACATGACCTCACATCCTGGCCAATTGCACGGTAGCTGCTAATTGCAAATGCTTTGCTAATGGCCCATACATCTCTATACATGAGGGGAATGGGTTATAAGCAGCAAAATCCAGAAGGCAATCAGTTAACATGGCTAAGAACTGGGGCTCTGGAAGTAGATTTGGGTTTCAATCATGGACTGCCTGTGTGGCCCAGGGCAACTTACCCTTTCTGAACCTCAGTTACCTCATCTGAATGGGGATCATAACTCTTCCCTTGGCGGGTCATTGCTAAGGTTAATATTAGATAAGGCATATAAACAACTATGCATTATTGTTATTGCTATTATTACTAGTTAGGCTTCAAAATTATGAGATAACTTTCTCCCTCTAGTGTCTACATATTCCTGAGATCCTACCTAGCTATTCTGCTCATCCTCTACCCTCCACCTGTCTACCCTCCCTCCCCAGATGGATCACTTCTAGGAAGTCTTCCTTGATGAGCAGAATGCATGTAACTCAAGAATTTTTTTCTCGATTGCTTCATGTTTTTCATGCAGATGTTTACATTTCCCCCAATTTGCAGGCTAACCCTCTCCAAGGTCAAGAAGCCTCACCTGTTGTCGATATCTCAGCACATACCTCTAGAGCAGCAGTTCTCAACCTGTGGGTCGCGACCCCTTTGGGGGTCAAACGACCCTTTCACAGGGGTCGCCTAAGACCATCGGAAAACACATATATAATTACATGTTGTTTTTGTGATTCATCACTATGCTTTATGTTCAATTTGTCACAATGAAAATACATCCTGCACATCAGATATTTCCATTATGATTCATAACAGTAGCAACATTGCAGTTATGAAGTAGCAACGAAAATAATTTTATGGCTGGGGGTCACCACAACATGAGGAACTGTATTAAAGGGTCGCGGCATTAGGAAGGTTGAAAACCACTGATCTAGAGCAAAATCCCTTGCAAGTGGCTATAGACCTTCTGAACAAAAGGGAAAGCCCATCTTCCAACTCACACTCTTGCTTCCTTAGCTTTTGCAAAAAGCCTTGCTTTTACAGTAGCACATCCCTGAGGCCCATCTGACGGGAGCAGGCAGAGTCAGGAGGCACTGACATTTCCCGTCACATAGTTCCAAACCCATTCGGTCCCTGCCTGCCAAGACATTCAGCCATGCTCTAGTTACTTCTCACATGACAGCTTTGTCTAACCTCCCTTTTCGGAGCCCCACCTCACCACTTCACTACCTTACTCTAGTCTACCTACAGCGTCATCTTCCCTCGTCTGTGATGTTCTCTTAAACCACCTCGGTCCGTACAGAACTTTCTTATCTGGTCTTCCATCTGTCTGTGTTCCCACAGACCAAGAGGCCTCTAGGCTTTCCAATAGTCACTCTGATTTCTTGGAATTGTCAAGAAGTGGTCTCTCTTCGCAGGGTGTTAACACTTCCAGACCATCTGTACATTAATGTTTCACCCAATACTCCACTACATCATTTCTGCCTCTGTGGGTAACCAGTGACTTGTGGACGGGGACCATCTGTTTAAACCCGAAACCCTGTCATTTGTTAAGGCAGTTTTATTTATGAGCCTGTGTGCTATAACCCTGTGGCATAAATATTAAATAATAATATCTCCTGGGTGAAAGAAAAATCATGTTAACAGACAACTTCTTAGGAAAATACGAAGTAACTCCAACCACAAAATGTGGTACCAGCTAATTTTAAAATACGAAGAAAAGCATGGATTGCTCAACAGGTAGATGCAAATGCAGAAGCACGATCTGCATTTTTACACTCCCTTGCTTCAAGAAATGAAACATCCAAGAAGTAAAGAATGTTGAAAGAAACTTGGGCTGGGTGGCAAATTTCCTTGGAATCAAATTCTAATTCCCACAAGTGTCTCCTAAGCAGTTTTTAGCTTCTGAGAAGAAAGACTCTGAATAATGATAATCATATAAATGAAAAAAATTCTGGACAATGACACTGCTCAAAAATTTTTTTTTCACATTCTGTGAATTTCCTATTACATCAGTTTCATGATTCAGCATTTTCCATTTCATTTATTTAGAGTAATATATGGCGAGATAATCCAAGGACTCTGCAGGATCCTGGAACATAAGGTAGGTTGGCCAGGAAGGGTGTCACCTTTGGTAAATTACTATTGTTTAGAACTCAAAGCAGAAGAAAGAGAAGCCAGCAAGGGAAGTGAGGGTGTTTCTCCCACCTTTTAATGAGGGTCTAAGTTACTCTGGTATTGTAAAGGCGTTGGTTTTGAAAAATAGGCTCCTGCCATTTAGTTGATGACTAAGACAGGAGCCAAGAAGTGTGCACATCGTAACTGACATGCATAAGCCAGACGTGTTCTCAGAAATGACAATGTTCGAGACGCAGCTAAAGTCACCACTCTGGCAGTGAGCGTGTTACAAAGAACTAGATTTCTTTCTGGCATCCGCAACTTGGCCGGAATGACCATGGAGGAGTTGAAGATAGCTGGAAACCCGAGGTGCCTTGCCCGGCGCATTGGCAGAAGGCGGTCGGGGCCCTGAGGACAGGGTGGGAACTAAAAGGAGGGTCGAGCCGGGTGGCATTCGCGGAGAGAAAGAGGCGAAGTTGGGCGCGAGAAGAAAAGGAGCTGCGAGAAGATTGTAAGGGAAGCTCAGGACGGATAGGGAAGGGGCTGGAGAGCCCTGCGCAGCGGAGTGGGGACGGAACGAGGGTGACCGAAGATCCCAGGTGGAGTGGGGGGCAGGCCGGGTCTCCGGGGGAACCTGGCCCGGGTCTGGCGCGAGTCTGGCAGGGAGAAGGACAGGAGCGAGAGCACAGAGCAAGTCTGGTCCACGCACCGCTCTCCGCAACCGGGTGCTCATCCCAGGTGCCGGGAGTGCCCGGGGCGCAGCGGCCAGGAAAAGAGAAACTAGCAACACCGCACCCACTCCGCGTGGCGAGTCCCCGGCCCTTCCACCCGCGTCCCCCGGGCTCCGCGCGGAGGGGAGGACCCGGGCAGGGTCCGGCGCTCACCAGGTAGCAGAGCAGGAGCAGCGCGCAGGCAGGACGGCCGCCGAGGTCTGGGGGGCCGCCGCCGCTCGGGGGGACCATGGCTGCGGCCCGGGGACCGACCGCGGGCGGCGGGGGGTGTTGCTGCTGCTGCCGTGGCCGCCCGAGCCCCGCGCAGCGCCGCTGCATGGCGAGGGCGCCCGGATCCCGGCCGGAACAGGTCACCTGGTGCAGGGACCGGCCCCCGCCCGAGGCGCCACCTTCGCGCCCGCCCCCGGCCAGGCCGGCCGCCGCGCGCGGGGCCACCTGCCGCCGCCGCCACTGCCGGACCCGCCGCCGCCAATGCTGCTCCCGCCGTCGCCTCCCCCGCAGCCCCAGCCGAGCGCCGGCTCCTCCCCGCCTCCTAGTCCCCGTCCCCTCCCTCCCTCCCCCCTGCTCCCTGGCCAGCCCGCCTCCCGGCCGCTCCCTCCGACCGCCGGGCTCCCACCCCTCCCGGCAGCCGGCGCCCACGCAGGTGGGGACAGACCCCGGTCCCGCCCCCTCGGCCGCCGACGCCCGCCCGGTGGCTCCGCTCCCGCCCGCCCCCCTTCCCCTTTCTTTCCTGTCCTCCCCCGCCCCCCTTACCCGCTCTTCCTTTTCGAGATCCTCTCCCCTCCCTCCGTTTCCCTCTCCCCTCTCCCCTCTTCTCTCTCTCCTCTATCTTCGTAATCCCATCTCTCTTTTTTTTTTCACTTTCTCCTTTTCTCTCTCTCCTTCTCATTCTCTTCCTCCCTCCCGCATTCCCTCCCCCCGCCCCCCCCCACACACACACACTCCTTTTGCGGGGCGCGCCGCCCAGTTCCCGCCGGTGCAATGGGTTTTGTTCGGCTGCTTTTTTGGCGAGGGCGCCATTCCCGCTGGGCGCCGGGCGCGCCTGCCCCCTGGAGTTGCGCCACGCAGCGGCCCAGCTTCCAGCCCTTCGGGGTGGATTTTGACCCTGGCCAACCTCCACCTGTCCACCTGCAGGGGTGGGGCAGCTCCCTGCGGGTACGGTACGAGGCCGGGTTGCGCCCCGCCCTGCCGGCTGGCTGGCGGCCGGCTCCGCGCGGTCCCCGAGGGTTTTGTGCGGTGCCGCCGCCGCCGCTCCCGCCGCCGCGCTCTTTGTTTTAATTGCCCAGAGTATCCGAGCCCAAAGGGGGTTTGTATTTAATTCGTATCCACGTGCCCCGGCTTCCACTTTGGAGGGAAAAGAAAATGAATTAATTAGGCCAAGGCAATTGTACTTAAGCCCCAAATGAGAGGCGTGAGGCTCTTGACATGAACAAACAGCTTAAAAAAAAAAAAAATCCAGGCATATCTTGGCCTTGGGGACGCAGGTTGGGTCGCCAGGCCGCGGGGCCCAAAGCGGGACCCCTGTCTCCAGGCCCCCCTGCCCTGGCGCTCTGGGCAGGGCACTGGCTATGTGGAGCGGTGCAGACAACTGGTTGGGCCCCTGGGCTGCTGCTCGGAAACAGCCCATCTTCAAAGTTAGCAAAAGCTTCCCGTGGGCCCTGGTGGATTTGTGCGGGTTGGAACTGATAATAGTTTGGGAGTGTGAGAGGTCACAGCCCTTCCCTGTGGAGTGGCTCCCATGGTAGGGTCAAGTCACAGAAGGTAGGTCAAGTCACAGAAGGCCTCGGAAGAGGCTGGTGGTACCTAGGGAATGCCCGGGGTTTGGAATCCCTTGGACCTGGATATGCCCTCAGCCATCTTACTCCAGGCCTGCCACCCTCAGCTCCTCAGGGAGTCATCCCTTACCTTTTATAGGTCACCTGAGGGCTGTGGCCCTGGGGCAGGCTCTTGGCTCAGAGTCACTCACTGGCTGAAAGACAATGCCTTATATCAGTGGTTCTCAGATGTAAGCCTGCATCCAAATCACCCCCAGGGCTTGTGAACACAACATGTGGCTGGACAAATGCGCTGGATTTTCCGAGCCAGTGGGTCCTGGGTGGGCTTGAGGAGCTGCCTGCCTAGCAAGCTCCCTGCTACTGCTGACGCCGCTGGTCCAGAGACCCCATGTCCAGAACGTCTGGCTTGCAGGAAGGTTCGCGCCGCTCCTCTCACATCCAGCAGTCACCACAGGAGAGCACTGGAGGGTTTCTGTGCCTGACAGGTGTCACCACCGCCCTGTCCCACTTCCACAGTCCCGCAGAGATTCGCATGCTCCTGCGTGATTGGAGAACCACTCATGCCACAGGTGCCCACGAGGATAAAGGATTCGGTGACTCCAACCCAGATCCTGTCGGGCTGAAACATATGGTCTACTTTTTAATGTCTGTGGAAGGAAATTGGCCATTTCGGGAGAACGGGGGCTTCTCAGTATCGCGGGGTTTCCGCCTGTCTTCCTGGGCCTCTGCAGAGTTTCTCTCCTTCATTGCATGCGGACTTGGTTGGTCTTGGGGGGAACCGAATGGTTCCCTCAGGTTGTTTGTTATCAGGATTCATGGAATTAGAGCTTTCAAAGCCTGTGAGCCTTAAGGGTTTGAATTTACCTAACTGTCTTCAATGTGGAAGCCCCCCTGTAGGGGACTGGGCTATTTCTTTTAAATCCTCACCCGGGAATATTTTTTTTCCATTGCTTTTTAGAGACTGGGAGGGAGGGAGGCAGGGAGAGGGGGCTGGGGATGGAGAGAGAGAACCGTCAAGGTGAGACACATTGATAGGTTGCCTCCCGCACAACCCTGACCAGGGCCAGGGATCTAACCTGCAACCCAGGTACGTGCCCTTGACTGGGAATTGAACCTGAGACTTTTCAGTGTATGGGTGGACGCTCTAACCACTATGCCACACCAGTCGGGGGGGGGAGGGGGACTGGGCTATTTTTAATCAGGCATATCCAGTCTCTCACTTTCTCATCTTCCACTGTGCTCCTATTGTGCGTCAGGCACCACCCGAGGCCCCAGAAATCCAGAGGTGGCAGGACCATCCCTTTCCAAGGGATCGAGGAGCGGCAGGAATGAAGAGAACTGACAAAGACACAATGGGGTTCCCTAAAAGGGCCCAGAGCGGGGGTGGCAGTGATGACTGATGAATTCTGTACTGGAGGGGGCAGAGAAGAGAAGGTCAGGATTTCTGTTCACAGAGCAGTGTGACATTTTGATCCAGAAGACAGATCGTGACTACCCTTGCCTCTCTAGCCCTTTGTGTCAGTAATCTGAAGGGTGTGGTCTGATTTCAGGAGAATGCCCTTTATTTTAAAGATACCATGCTTTCCCACTGGGTTTAAAACCCCACCATTATAATTCATCGGTTTGAATTAAGTTTTAATACTCCACCACAATGTGCAGGCCCCGGAGACTGTATTAATCTGGTATCTCTCATTGCTGCCTACGTGAGTCCGTTATCACACCCCCTCGATCTCAGCATGGACGAGGATGAAGGCAACAGGGTCCCTTACGGAAGCTCAGGGGAGAAGCATCAGGGGCCTGGAGGGGAGGGGGCGTTAAAACCAGGCAGAACCTTCACTGAATCTGCTTGCCTCTGTGGGCACGGAATGACATCCTAGGCCCGTAGTTCTCAGGTGCTGAAATGGTTTGAGATCAGTAAAATCTCCAGGACCAATGCCCTTGGCCAACTGTCAACTTGCCAAGTAAAAATACCTCAAACAAGCAAAAACAGCCCCCAGATACACTTACAATATCTTCTATCAACATTATTTCATTGGAAAGCCGGGGCATTTTTACCATCCTAAATGAGGAAGGCCCTAGAACAGCGGTTCTCAACCTGTGGGTCGCAACCCCTTTGGGGGTCGAACGACCCTTTCACAGGGGTCACCTAAGACCATCAGAAAACACATATATAATTACATATTGTTTTTGTAATTAATCACTATGCTTTAATTATGTTCAATTTGCAACAATGAAATTGGGGGTCACCACAACATGAGGAACTGTATTAAAGGGTCATGGCATTAGGAAGGTTGAGAACCACTGCCCTAGAACATAATAGAAGGCAGTCCTTGGAACGGAATTTAATTTGCTTGTGAGAAACTCCTAACTGGTCTTTGTCTCATTTTGCTCTGCACCAGTGGGAACGTCCCTTTGGACCGTCACTGTCCATGCTGATACTTGGAAACCACATTTCTAGGGACTGAGGGTGCGTAGGGTACAGAGATCAGCCCCTACAGAGACACCTGACCTGTGGGTTACAGGAGGGGAGCAGAGGGCACTACTTGTGAGTAAGGAACACTCATTTTCCCCACTTCCCTCCTACATAAACCCCTGGGCCCAAATGCCACTGGCTCTAGGGAGCCTTCCCTCATGACCTCAGGTTCAAACTCAGTTGGCCATGTCTCTGCCCCACTGAGCATTGCCTGCAGCCCCATGTGGAAACTGCCCAATCCTGTTTCATATCTCTATCACTTTGTTGGCCTTGTCTCCTCCTCCAAGTAGACTTCAAAGCAGAGGTTGTTTCTTAACCAGCTTCGGGTATTCCTTTCATGCCTAGAAAGTTCTTATCCTGTATAATAAAAGCATAATATGCAAATCGACCTAATGGCAGAAAGACCAGTCGGCAGCGGGTGGGGCCGGTGAGCAAGGGTCACCAGGCCAGCCAAGGCACGTGCCAGCGGGCAGAGGGAGGGAACAATGATGGGGGGAGGGCGTGGTGACCAGCAGTGGTGGAGGGGCAATGGGGGGGGCGGGGCTGGCACTGTCCCCTGATCAGCCTGTGTCCGGTCGCCTCCCACAGAGGGAGTCCAGGCGGCAATGGCAGGGTGATGGGGGTGGTGCCGTCCCCTGATCAGCTGGCCTGGTCGCCTCCTGCAGAGCCATCAGTAGGATATCCCCTGAGGACTCCCGGACTGTGAGAGAGCACAGGCTGGGCTGAGGGGGCTCCTAGTGCACGAATTTTCATGCACTGGGCCTCTAGTTCACTAAATAAAATTGAACCCATCCTCTTCCTTTCTCATTTTTTTCTTCCATCCTCCCTTCCTGTCTGCCTCCCTCCTTACCACCCTCCTTTTCCTTTTTTACTTGTGGTTGGCTCCTCTGTGCTCTTCCTGCAGTCAGGTTCTCAGGAATCCTGGAGCCTTCTCCTCGCTCCCACCCCCTCCTCTCTTTCTGCAATTGCAGATATTCAGAATAAAGATGAATGAACTGTGACATTTGCTTTTACATCAAAATAGGAGAGAATAAAACAAAAATAGAAGACTGCTGTCAGACAGCACACTTCCCCCCTCGATGGGAAAGCCGGGCCCTTTTTCCTGCCGAGGGTGACGGTCAGCGTCTAGCTCACTCCTGCGTGCCATGTGGAACGTTGGTGCTCCCAGGTTTCCTGTGACACTGAGGCTTTACCTTCCCTAAGTCCATTTCCTGTCTGCTT